GAAAATCACTTTTGCTTTAGTTCATCATCTGTATTTACTGATGCCTTAGATTTTTTGCAGCACTGGACAATCTTTTGGATGCTGAAAGTTTCAGAAATAGGAAATCAGAGTGTGGAGCTAGGACTTGATTTGGACAGATTGCTAAACATAAGTTAGAACTGTTTCGGTTTTTTTTCTTTGTGGTTGGGTTTTCTTTCTGGTGTTTAACCGTTTTTTTACCGACTTCTATAGCCTCATCTGTTTGTGTTCTTTCCATTTTTGCAACAGGGGAGCAGGATTGTTGTTTTGGAAATGTTAAAATGACAGGGAGAGATCAAGATGAAGATCTCTTTTGAAGATATTCATGTCCACTAAAACTCTTGTTTCATCCTTTTCAGTCTTGAAAGCAGCCTGAGGCTGCGCCTCAACCTGGTGCCCTCTGAAAAATAATTTCAAAAGCAATAAAACTCATTGGGAAAATGCTGGTGATGTATGAGAGGACTCGGGCTGTGACAGATGAGAGAAGAGGCAAGGATCTGCTTTGTTACCAAGCTCCACTGAGGAGAGGCATGAGCATACTCAAAAAGGCTTTGCCCGTATGAATTGAGATTTAATGCCTATATTTAAACTTAATGAAGAATAGGCTGTTCAAAGGAAAGCTTGAAGTTCAGTTATTACTGTGATTGCATTTTGCAGCTGCTATTAGATTTTAAAAAAATTTTAAATCTTCATTTCGTAGAAAGATGCTTGGAAACGAGTAATACCAATTTCCTCAGCGTTAGTTTAACACTCTGTCCGGGGAGAAAGCTCAGAGAATTTGTCATCGAAGCCTTTGTACTGAAGATTGGAAGGTGAATAACACATTTTGTGGAAGGATTGCAAGTAGTTCAATAACTACCCCAAGAGAGCTCACAGATCAATTATACCTCGCAGTCAGTTGATATACTGACTTAAAATAATGGCAGACAATGCTAGAAGTTGTTGACTATAGACTGCAATGCTTTATATGAGTATAATGAGTTTTTAAAGTACCCTCTGCATTCCTACCTGTCTGTTGGTTTTAAAATGTCTTCAGAATCAAACTCTTAAAATTCTGCTTAGTCACATGAAACTATAAATAAGTGGGTTTAAACTTTTCTCCAAGGAGGTACAAACATGAACCTTATTTGTATCTCGTTGTGTAACAGAGACCAGGCATTGGGCTGAGATTTCTGCAGAATTGTGTTTGTGTTAAATAACAGTCAGGTGAAAGAAAGTTCTATTTTGATGAATGTGTCATAACTTCATTTTGCCATTAAGTGTTGTTTCACAGACTGTCAAACTACATTAAAGTCCTGGTTTTGTTTTCATGGCTGTGAACTGTGTTTCCAGCCATCTTACAGAAGGCCTCAGGTTCTCTGTTGCAAAAAAACATACCTTGCTCTTAAGACCTGCCTTTCTTGCTCTGCCTTACATTGTTTGAGTGGGGAAAAAAATCTGTGATGGGTAGTTTGGTGGAAGAGAAGGACAAAAATGTATCTATTATTTAGTTTTAAAGGTGAAAGCAGTCGGTACCCGTATCAAAGTATCCGGGTATTTGACAGAAATAGTTGGCAGGATTTTATATTTCTCAAATTCAGAAACATTCTAGCAATGTGGTTCCACGTGGAACTGAGTCAAGAAATAAAGTTGTATTAGAGAATCCCAGAGTGGTTCAGGCTGGAAGGGACCACAGTGGGTCATCTGGTCCCACCTCCCTGCTCCAGCAGGGTCGTCCCAGAGCACGTGGCACAGAATTGTATCCAGATGGTTCTGGAATATCCCCAGTGAGGAAGACTCTTCTGTATATTCTGTTATTACTATTATTATTGCTATTATTATCATCACCATCATCATTTTCCCATCCTTTTCTGTCCTAGTGAACAGAAAAACTCTCAGCCCGTGAGTTTTCCAGTTCTTTTCTTCCAGTTCTCTCCTCCATCCCACCAGGGAGGAACGAATGATTGGCTGTGTGGTGTTAAACCACAACAACATTGAAGAGACTGTTTTAGGGTTATGGATTATTAACTTCATCAGGCTTATAATTAGGACCAGAAAGGTAGTATTTGGTAATGTAGACGCTTTTCAATAGTTTATAAATCTTCAGAAGCACTTTGGCTCACAATGCTATTTCAGGTAATCTACTCCTCCCTCCGTTTCACAGTTCAGTGGTTTAGTTTTGAGAACCCTATCCTGTCTTGGCCACCTCCCAGAGATCTAGAAAGCTTTAAGAAAACTTTGTGAATTTGCATTTCCCTTGGGATATATGCAAAAATGACAAGAGGAGTAAATTAAATTTAAAGTGAAAATTCGATGTGAAAGAAATCCAAGCTCTGTATGTTGAAGTGTATGTTGATGTCTAGGCCAAATTTCTCTTTGTGCTTGTAGTGGTGCCAGGTAGCACTAGTACTGTTACAGCCACCTATGGCTATCCTGTTGGCTTATATAGGAATTTTCATAGAATCATGGAATCCCAGAATGGTTTGGGTTGGAAGGGACCTCAAACAGGGGCAGGGACACCTTCCACTAGATCAAGTTACTCCAAGCCTCGTCCAACCTGGCCTTCATCCCTTTTAAATATGGCATTTTCTTCCTTTTATTCTGTGGGGTTTTTTTGGTGTTTGTTTTTTTGTTTGTTTTGGTTTGGTTTTTATTTGTATTTTTTGGTTGTCATTTTTTTTGTTGTTGTTGTTTTGTTTTGTTTTTGTTTCTGTGATGTTCTGAAGAAGCAGAATCTGAAATATGATTCTGGCCACACTGTGTCAGTGTATATATTATTCCTATGTTTTCTGTTAACTTCAGACCTGAGAAGAACATAGTGAGCAGAGCTCCTAAGGGTTTGCAGCATAAGTTGCTTTGTTTTCCATGTAAAAAAATTTAAATATAGCCTTGTAACTTCGAACTAAGCATAAATATAAAACTAGGTTTAGCAAAGTGATATTTCAAATATTGGGAACATATTGCATAGAACTAGAAACACTCTCTCTCTGTCCTCCCAAGCTGTTTATCTGTTAGCACTTCAATCTTCCATTTATGATTTTCCTTAGAAATGTCTCTTGAGTACCCTGGGTGCAACAACCAGTACTTAGCGTTGAATGTGACGTTGCACTTTGGAACCGAAAGGAATTTTCTGTACCTGTTGCATGGAGCTGCTTTTCTGAAGGACTTGCCAGCAAGAGAGAGGACCCCAGGAGGTCACTTGGGTCATATATTCACGTGCAGATTTCTCTCGCACATAATGACCTCGTTCTCCCTGGTGGAAGATTCAGATTAATCAACAGTATTTTGGCCACATCCCTCCTTCCCTGACTGTTGAGGAAAGGTGTAGCAGTGGCAGATGCCAGCCACAGAAGGGTGGGGTGGTGGAAAATAAAAAAATGAGAACTAAGCTGAAGCTTAAGAAAGGAAATGTGCCGAATTTGAGTTCACTTAACATATGATGAATGTATGGTTGTTTCAGTAGTTTCTTACAGTAGTTTCTCTGCACGTTACCCCTCTGGATAACTCATGAGAGTTCAAAAACTAACTTCATGGTCAGCATCATTCATTCCGATTTAAAGGACAGTGGATCGAAACCGTGGTGATAAAGGGTTATTAATGGAACATGAAATTTTTGCTAAGAAGGCTGTAATTATAGTGCTTTTTATTATAAGAACTCCCTCAAGCTGCTTAACACTGAGTGGCATTAGTTCCCTCGCCCTTGACATGGCAGTAATTGCCCTGCAATTGTGCTGATGAGGGAGCACTGGTTTATTACATAATCTGACTATATAATTACATTTGAAGAAAAACCCTCTTTGGAATTGCTTGAAATTTTGTAGGGCTAAGAGTGCTTGAAATTCTTTTTAATTGGTTACACTACACTTAATGCTTTGCGTTCACATGGCTTACAGGATTTTATCATTTGCACCTTGAATCTCTCAGACTAGAAGACTGAAAACTAAACTTCCTTAATTTTTTCTGTCTTCTTTAAGAAGTGGGGAAAATTGTAATTAATTTTCAATTTAGGCATTAATTAGAAGAGGAAATGAGAATTTTCTATTTTTCTTTTAGCCGAGCTTTTTTTTTTCTGTATAACTCAAGACTTTGACCTGCTAAATGAATAATTTGATGAAATGCTCAGTCTGTACCATAAAATTTGAAGATACAATCAAAAAAATGAACTGCTAGGCAGGCATTTGGGGAGGAATGCAATATGCTGTGATTGAGAGGGGCTGTTTCTTATTCCCCTGGGGATGTATCAGGGGCTCAGATGTGATAAACATCGAGGGTTTGCCCTTCTTCCTGACTTTGTCCCCCAGTAATGCTGAGTTTGCAGCATCTCTGTTTCAGTTTTGCTGCTTTCCTTATTTTTTTTTTCAGTGGCGTAATAGAGTGCCCTGAGCAGTGGTAGGGAAATAAGGACTAGTGGACTTTCTGGAGAGGGATGAGGAGAGTCCTCTGATGCTCCTTCTCCTCTGATTGGTACCTGGGCACGTCACTGGTCAACTTGGTTCGCCAACGCTGCTGTAATTGGGAACAGGAATTTCAAATGCAGTTAGTGTTGGAGTTTATTTTTTTTTTAAATGCTGTAAGTATGAAAATGACTCTGTGTTTCAGGCTCAAAAGTCAAACATTAGGCTGTGTGATAATGAGTTTTGACGAGCAGCATTTGGGGACATTGTTTTGACTTTATACATTATGCCTTTAATACTGGACCTGTATGTGCACCATGTAGAATCACACAATGGGTTGGGTTGCAAGGGACCTTAAAGCTCATCTCATTCCACCCCCTGCCATAGGCAGGGACACCTTCCAATATCCCAGGTCACTCCAAGCCCCATCCAACCTGGCCTTGGACACTTCCAGGGATGGGGCATCCCCAGCTTCTCTGGGCAACCTGTGCCAGGGCCTCACCACCCTCACAGGGAAGAATTTCTTCCTCACAACTAATCTAACGCTGGCCTCTGAAGGAGTTTTGTTTGTTGAAACATTAACATACTGGTTTGTGCTTTCCTCTGCAGCTGGCCTGTGGACAGTGTTCACACTCGGCGGGGTGGGCAGCAAAGCGTCGCCGCAGCTGGAGCAGTGCTCCCCGCTCGCCAGCCAGAGCCTGCTGCTGCTGCTGGTCTTGGCCAACCTGACTGATGCCCCAGACATGCCCAACCCCTACAGGCAAGCTATTATGTCCTTCAAGAACACACAAGGTTCGTATCTGTTCTTATCTGTAAGCATGAGCTGTTGAAAGTGAATTTTAAGTTGCTGTGATTTCTTGGAGGTTCTCTTTCCAAAAATTGTTGTTCTTCCAGCAAGCCCATGGAAGAGCAGTAATTGTGCCTTTTCTTCTGGGAGTTTTGGGGTGAAGTTCCTCAGCTGCTGGAATTTAATGGTAGGGACAGAGGGAGGATACTTTGTCCTTCAGACTTGAGAAATATTAGAAAACTTTGTGATTCTAGTCCTGTTTACAGTTGGACAAGATGATCTTGAAGGGTTCTTCCAACCTTGATGGTTCTGTGACTCCATGATTTCATAAAATATGAATAAAAGTGACCTATAAGTAGGTAGGCTGTCCAAGAGTCTGCTGGAGTCACCTAAAACTTTACAGAGGAATCCTGTTTAGCTGGAGTCATGTTCCTTAGAGTGAAGATAAGCAATTGAATTACTACCTGGATGGATTTGCTGACTATATTCTTCTGTTGCAAGTGTGAGGAAAAAATATAATTTTAATAAGATTAATTTTAATAATTTTAATAAGGTTAATATAAGCACTTTCATAAGTTTTGCATGTGTGGAAGGTTTCAGAGTTGTTTCAGTGCTTGTCTGATTTTTGAAAAGGCTGGTTCCAGTCCCTGTGTCAGGTAACTGCAGGTGCTGTGCTGCACTGACTGACAGAGGGTCTTGTGTGGGACACAGTGATTCCTTGACACAGCCTGGACTGTCTGGGCAGCTCAGTGAGCAGCTGTGCTGCTTTTCATAGAATCACAGCATTGTTTAGGTTGGAAAAGCCCTCCAAGACCGTCGAGTCCAACAGTTCCCCAGCACTGCCAAGGCCACCACCAATCCATGTCCCCAAGTGCCACATCCACGTGGCTTTTAAATCCCTCCAGGGATGGGGACTCCAACACTTCCCATATATGTTTTATGGACTTAAATCTCTTAAGTTTGAGCTGTAGGGTTTTACCTTTCATTGGCTTTGTGCAGGTTGACAGCATGCACAGAGTTCAGGAGGAATGTGACAGCCTATGAAGCCACGATGATCCCTCCGAGTTACTCACTTTCAGACAGTTTTTGTATTCCTTTAACCATTAAGCATTTAGCAGGTTGAGCTCTAAATTATTTACCTTTACCTAGGAAATTTTGTTAGATCATGAGGATGGAGGTTTGTTCTCATTAGAAGAATTCTGAATCCTAACGTGCACCTTGGATTTATTGTATGCCATTTACAGGTGGTTGAGATCAAATAGTTGATAAAGTTTTTGTTTTGCTCTATTTTTTAAACTGCAAACTTCCATTAACGTTTTATTTTGGTTGACTTTGATTAAATTCACTAGTAGCCAGTAAATTTTGTTGAGAAGTGTTACGCGCTTATCATTATAAAATTTTAAAAGAACTTCTTCTATGTCAAAAGTAGCATAAAAAGCGATATTTTCTCTAGATGTGTACGGTTATAGAATGACTTATGGTTTCCCAGAAACTTGCTTCCGCTTATAATGCTTATAATTGAGCTTAAATTTGATTCTTGTAAACATTCTGAGGGCTTGGTATGAGGAAAGTGAGATGAAAAAAGAAGGCTGGTTGCTGTCACAATGATCTATAGCATGTGACTATAAAAAGAAAACTTTTTTTTTTTAAAGTAATTTATATAATTTAATTGTGACGACACTAGTAGAATTCAGGGTAGTTTTCTTTATTCTGCATGGTCTAGAATAGTTTAATTTTTCTGTTGATCAGCTTAATGTTCTGTAGAATAATACAGGATTGTGCTGCTGTTGCTGGTAAGTTTCTTTAATACTATTTAGATTTTTATTACTGATAGTGAAAGGCTATAAATCCAAGTGGCACAGTTTCAACATCCACCGAGGTGAAGCTGGAATGTCAGTGGACATTTCTCAGATAATGAACTGTGGCATCAAGGATGGAATTGTTCTGATTTTACTGCGTCCAAACCTCCCGTTGTGGAGAGGAATTTTCGCCCAAAGCAGGAGGTTTTACACCAGTTGGTCCACAGGTGTGGTCAGTAGTTCAGAAGGGGCAGGTTTGGGTCTCTGTGGTGCCTGTGGGTGCGTTGGTTTGGGACAGGCAGGGTTCCCTTCACCACGGGGCTGTGTCTCGCCTCCGTGTGCGCGACAGCGCTTCCCGGCTCCCGCAGGCAGGAGAGGGGGGTTTGCTCCAGGGCTCCTGCTGACTCCAGCTGAATGGCTGGAGCTACCACGCCTCGCCCAGGCCAAGGGAAGCGGCGGCTCCCCAGCACGTCGTCGGCTCCTCCGGGCCCCCAGAAAACTGAGGGGAGCCAGGGCTCCTGGGGGGCTCCCACAGGGCCTCCAAGCACTTTCTCCGTCCAAAGCGGGTGGAAATGTTGTTCAAAATAAGTGACGACTGTCGCATTCTTCTGTGCTGAAAGCTGTTTAGGAACTTCGCCAAGAATACGGGCTACAAATCAGAGAACCACAGTATAGTTTGGGTTGGAAGGGACCCTCAAGATTGCCCAGTTCCATCCTGCCATGGGCAGGGACACCTTCCAGGTGTCCCTGCCACGTCCAACCTGGCCTTGGACACTCCCAGGGATGGAGCAGCCACAGCTTCTCTGGGCAACCTGTGCCAGGGTCTTACCACCTTCAGTGTAAAGAATTTCTTCCTAATCTATTATCTAAATGTCTCTTCTTTCAGTTTAAAGCCATTGTCCCTTGTCCTGTCACTATTTGCCCATGTAAAAAGTCACTCTCCATCTTTTTTAAAAGCCCCTTTGAGTTCTAACCTTTTCTGTTTCCTCTGGAAATTCCTAGACCACAGAGATCTGTGCAGATGTTTACCAGTATTTATTGAAACTGGTAAAGGTTCTGTGAACAGAAATCTGTTCTATTTTCACTTCCAGCTCTGGCACAGAGTGTATTGTGAATATGAACAAACTGCTGTTACTTTGAGGGATGTCAGACGATGTGATGTCATGTTTTACACCACTTAACCCATGAAACTCCCCACCACACACATCTAAAGTCCTGCCAAAATCTGTGTTTCACTGAGATACCATGATAGTCTTGACCTATGCACATATCCCCTTCATGCCAAGGAATGGCTGGATGGGAGATACTCCATATTGATGCCAGGGAACTAAACCTGGAAGTTTGGGGTGCAGGGTTTGGAAACACATGAATTGTCAGCATATTGGTTCCTGAGAAGATATTGTAGCTGTTCTACTTGCAGCAGCTCCTGGGACCACATTCCTTCTTAGCAGTGAAAGTCATTTGGACAAAAAAAGAATAGCTTTATGAAAAAAGAAGAGTGTTTTGTGCAGGTAGAGGGGTCTAACTGGAGCTCATGTGGGAAGACAGCCTCAGCTTTTTTGGCACAGCTGAAGCTTCATGAGACCCTATTAGGGTTTATGACCATTGGTGATAGGAGTTATGGATGATTTTTATTTCCTCCTCACTGTGGTGTCTGTATAAAATATTTCACCGAGAGATTTTTATCTGAATGATAAACATCTTTGTTCAAGATTTACCCTTATTTCTTTATTTCAGATAACACTGCTTTTTCATCGTCAAATCCACACGCTTTCCAGATTAACTTTAACAGCTTATACACAGCTTTGTGTGAGCAGCAGAAGTCTGATCAGGCCACTCTCCTTTTGTACATGCTTCTGCACCAGAACAGCAACGTGCGGACGTACGTGTTGGCACGGACAGACATAGAAAATCTGGTAAGTCCTTCTCTGCCTGCCTGATTCTCATCATGAGGGGCTGGACCTGAGTGTCACCAGCTGCCAGTGGTCCCTGTTCTGCAGCGGGGGCAGCGGGTCCTGTCTCACTTTTTCACCAGTTCTAGCTCACTTATTCATTTTTGTTACGTCATCTCAGGAGTGTGATGCAGAACATGTCACTGCAGTAAAGGGTAGTACTGGTAAAGCTACAAGGCTGTCTCTTTCCCTCTTTCTCTGTGCTACTATTATGATCCAGGTCAAACCCTCTCACTTCTGTGATCGTAGTGTAAAGAAACTGGTGGCAAGTATCGTTCTATTTATTATTTTATTTATCTCTTTTAGATATTTGGGCTAAAAAGTTGCATGAGCTTACTGTGTACATTCAGGAATAATAGTTAACAAAATGAGCTGTAACTTGACTAACATGCCAAATGTCTTACAGGGTTGACCTGAGACTGAAACTCCTCATGGAGCAGCTCACAGGTTTTATAGAAATACAGCTGTAGTGAGTTTTTAGCCACTTAAATAGGATTGTGGTTAATGGGCAATATAACAGACACCTGGTATGGTTTTTGTAGGTTATAAATTAGCTTATGCTCCCCACTTTAGTCATGTCACAAACCACTTTAGCAAATCTTACTTATTAAAAAGCATTCCTTTAATAAGATAATGGCTGTCTAGGGGGATTGGTAACGGAATAGAGAACCCTTTCCATTTTAATATTTGAAATCTTGCCAGGTAATTAGATCCCTTGCCTGTTTGATGGCAGATACGGAGTGAGTTTGGTTTCAGTCCAAGTTCCAGCAGATGTATTGCTAAAATCGGAGTTGATAGACGCCACTGTTGGCAAACGGGGGTGAGATGGTTGGTATTGAATTGATTCAAGACTGAACTCCTGTGTCATCTGCTGCGGATTATCTGGGCAAGGGCTGAGTCATTTTGCATGAGTTCTGTGAACAAATGGCAATGTATAATTTTTGGGGCAGTTAGTGTGTGATATGAGAAGTTTAACAGCTGCTGACCTTTACAATTCGCTGTATCTTTAGAATCATCAAATAGAATCCCAGAATGGTTTAGATTGGAAGGGACCTTAGAGCTCATCTCATTCCAACCCTCTGCCATGGGCAGGGACACCTTCCACTAGACCAAGTTACTTTGGAGAAGAAAAGGTTAGGTGTGTGCTTTGTTTTAGAATCATGTTGTCTGATATACTGTAAAACTTCCAGAAAAACCATGAGGTGCATGTGTCAAAACAACTCCAGATGCAGGTACTCAGATGCTCTGCAATGTGGGATATTTTCATATATTAATACCTAAAAAAAAATAAATAAAAAGATCAGAAAATCCCAGAAATCATCAGCAACATCTAACACTTTGTGGGAAAATCTGAGAAAATTCAGACAAGCATCAATTAAAGGTCAACAGTATGTTTTTTGGGGGTAGTTTGTTTTTTTTTGGATACCAGCATTTGAAACTGCCTGCTCTTATTTTGCTCTTTCTGCGTATTGCTGCTTTTTTGTGATCTCTACGGACAAGTTACTGACATATTTATCCAATCCTCTTGTTTTTATCGGGCCAGTAGGTAAGAATGAGCAGCAACCAACTGAGAAGAGCAATTGTAATTGCTCGGTAACACAGACCCAAAAAGAATTGGGGGAGTAGGAAAGAAATCATTATCTCCTAATTACAACCCTCCAGTGAAAAAAAGCTAATTCAGTCTTGGGCTTGTAAATGAGATGAAGGGACTTGAATATTGGAGCTGGTTATTCCTTTCTGTATGGCAAGGGTGGTGCTAATACACTGTGTAGTCTTCTGGTGGTGTACTACCATACTATTCATAAAATAGTTACAAGCTGTTGAAAAATGGAGACAGTGTAGAGAATTTTAATTTTTGTTTGCCTTAAAATTACCAATAGAACTGTGAGAGGCTCAGGAATCTAACATGGTAGGTCAGAGAAGAGCTTGAGAAGCATCAGGACGTGTATGTGCCTTCGTAAGGGGGAATCCTTGAACAGAGAGGACTCCCTGCTTGCAGAGAGGGGTGGTGATTCATTTGTATATGAGTCTCTCTCTGTCAGTTATAGGTAAATACCTTCACCTTCTGTTGAGCTTCATGTTTTATTGTTAGTGAATGAACTTTTTTGCTCCTACAATAAATCTGTTTGGCAGGAATGAATAGGATCTTTGTGTGCCTTTCAAAACTTACGTCACTTTGTATGATTTTGTAGAATTATAATATGGATTAAATATCTGGTGCTGTTTGGGATGTTCACATCTAGGATTTGGCGAGGATCTTCCAGAAAGTAGAGGGACAGTTGAAATAGGATGCAATTAACAAATATTTGATAGGCATAGCATTGTGGTCTGTGGATGGGAGAATGTTAAGCCTTTTCCTGTTTGAAAGGCAATTAACACCAATATTGCAACTAAAAATGCCAGTGAGATTTCTGCTTATAAGAAATGAGCTATTCAATGTGTTTGCTTTGGCTGCTGAGTTGAGCTTTTGTTGCTGCTCAACATGACTGGACTGAAATAATGTATATAATGATGTATTTATATCAATTGATGGTGCAGCAGTATTTTTACCTGTGGTATAAAGTTGGCTTAAGCAGGTTACTGCTTGGGTTTTGTTGATTTCTAAAGACAAGCTATTTTAAAACTCTTTATTGGGGAAACCAAGCTGGGACTGAATATAGCACCTGCAATTTTCAGTGTCTGTTTTTACCTGCCACTTGTTTTGGGGATTAAAAGTAACTTTTTAATGGTGGCTGTGTCTTGCCAGTTAAAAGCTGCTCCTGATGGGGGAGTGTCAGCAGTGGTGGTGGTTTACTGACTGTAAGGTCCAGTAATACAAAAATAGCTGGTTGTTGTCTTGTCAGTGCATGAGTGGACAAAGCCATCGCATAAGAAGGAAGCTCCCTGAAATGATTTTCCTCTTTTGGAGAAAACTGTCTCCTCCAGATTCCAACTGGCATCTCCCAGAGTCTTTTCGCTTTTCTGTTTTAATATAATTAGAATTTTATTTGAATCTTACATCCTAACTTTTTTATTTAAGTTGTGGCTTGTCAAACAGCTTTTGTTCTGAGCACAGTAGTACTTGTCCTAAAGGTGTGTGCACCTTGTAATCACTGTAAAGGAAAAAGTGTTGGAAGGAGGAAGGGTTATAGAAACTGTTTTCATCTGGAAATGGCAGGTAAGAGTTGCCATTTGCCTCCCTGGGCTTAATCTGGTGTGGAGATGGAGAGAAGCCTAAAAGAGGAGTGGAAAGGGAATCGTGGCCAGGGCAGTGGAGGTGGGAAGAGGTTTTGAAAGAACAGAGGTTTGTTTGGGGCAGGAGGACTGATTGCAGTAGTTTGGAAAGCCAGTCCACTGTTCAGTAGCTGGTAAGACTTTGACATATTGACTCATAGGGAAATGTCTCTGATCTCTTAATATCAAGGCATGCTTTTTAAATGTAGTTGGTAGCCACACACTGGCAGGACTCGGAGCACTTGAGGAACATGGATTGGCTTTTTCAGCTACAGTTTGAACTAATATTAATGTGCATAGAAAGAGAAGATATTCTGAGCTGTTTGGAAGGATTATGCTTTGCCAGAGTGCTTTGTGTGGAATTATTTAACACTAACCACACTGGATCTCAGTTACCTTTAAAGGTCTCTTCCAAGCCAAACCATTCAATGATTCTATTTGGGATCTGCCTAGAAAACCAAGAAGTTGAACCACTGGTTGCCTTCAGCAAGGCTTTTGTTGTTCTCCCTGCAAAGTCCAGTTGTAAATGCAATTCTTGGTTAGTTCTATGTTGCTTCCAGCTCTATGCAGCTCATTATCATAACTCTTGGACTGGGAAAGGACTTAGAGCTTGTGCAGTCAAAGCTGCATGCAAGTGTTGGAGGTAGAAATAATTTGAACAGTAGACTAAAGTTAAAATAATTTAAACAGTGGACTAAATGCTTGTCTCCCTTTTCCCCTACCCAAGGAAAAGGGCTAATGTTTTTTGGCCATACATCAGTTACATGTTCTAGGGAAAACCTGGTCTTTAGTCAAGACTGATATTCAGAAAACACAAAGATGTTGACTCAAGTTTCTACTGGAGAGAGAAGTTTGTGAAGGATCCTTTAAAATGGCAAAGGAAGCATGATTGCAATGTATAAATATTTTTATGTAATGTTTTTTATTTTCATATTTATTTAATAGTAATAAAAATATTATTGTAAATATATTGTCCCTCAGCTTCTGTTGCGGTCTTGTCTTGACCCTGACCAAAGCATCTGTCAAAAGGTTTTGTGGCCTGCAGCATTTAGATCAATCTCATTTCATTTTAATAGAAACTGTTTTAGTATGTTCCAGCTGTTTTTGAGGATGGTTGATTGTAAGAGAACATTTTGGTAACTTCAGAGGCTTGTGAAGCACTCGGTGTCCTGGCCGCTCACCAGAATAGGTTTCACATGATTCATCCTGCTGCACTTGGCCTGTTTTGAAAAACAGCAAGCCTTTAGGTGTCTAGAAGCTTCTTGGAACTGAGAGTTTTCTCCAGTTCCTTTTTCCAGGGTATTTTGTGATTTAGGCCTATTTCTGCAGCCTGGGGAAGCCACGTCGTACTGAGCCAGTGGAAAGCTAATTTTCAGTTGGTAGAGGGACAGCGTTTGCATCTGGATTAACTTTAGACTAGCATTCAGGTATGCTTGCTGTTGCAATGAAATCTCATTTTCGTTATTATTGCAAGACTTTGGCTTAAACTGTTCATCTTGGTGGAAATGTTGCAAGACCTTGGGCTGAACTCTCGTCAAAATGTCAGTTCTCTTTGGCTGCATATTATCTAAAATTGGAAAAACAGGCCTTTTCTAGTCTTAACCCAACCAAAACTGGTTCTTTTCCGGGATCATCCTCGCACACCAAAATGGGATTTGACTCGAAATGCCTCTGTTCACCTCAGCTCCAATTTGCATGGCTAGATTTGATGAGGAAAGTCCTTTCACACCGGGCATGTGGTAGCACAGATGGTTAGAAACAACTGTTTTCCTACTTGAATGGTGAGAATCTTGTTTAGCAATTTGATTTTCCCCGTAGTGTAGAGAGGAGAACTGAAGCATGAGGGGCCTATGGTAGGTATGGCTGGGAATCTCATTTATTAGGGATTGAAATTCCATGTCTGACCACACGAAAGCATTTGTTTAGACTCTCTTGTGGAGACAAAATCACTGCTTAGGGGTGGTTATTTCAAGAGGGAGGAATTGGTATGATATTGAGAAGGGCATGGGAGCTTTAGAGCCTCCTCTGTTTATTGTCTGAGGTATTTGAAGAATAAACTAACAGGCACGTTTTTCCTTCCCTAAAGGTTCTGCCAATTCTTGAAATCCTGTACCACGTTGAGGAAAGGAACTCACACCATGTTTACATGGCTCTTATCATTTTGCTAATCCTCACAGAGGATGATGGCTTCAACCGATCCATTCACGAAGTGGTGAGTTGTTGTTTTGGTGAATAATCCTTCAGCTCTGAACATTATTTCAGTGTTTACTTGTATGAAGATACATTGGCAGACACGTTCCCTCATAGGAGGCTGAATGGGCTCATCCAAGTTTGATGACAGACACATATTTCTTTTGTAAGGATGGGTAACCTGAAGAGCAATTTCAAAACTTTTCCGAGTGAAATGAACAACACACGCTCCCTCTTGTAGAGGAGGTGCTGTATATACCTCTTTTTTTGTCTTTTTTGGTGTTCCTATTGCAAAGTAACGTGGTAATAGCCAGGCAGGCTGCCTCAAAGATGCTGAATGTTTGCTGTGGAAGTGGAGGGCCTAGAGGAGAGGGGAAAAAAACAGGAAGCCTGTTTTTATTTCTAATTAAAATCTTTGCTTAACCGGTTTGATGCAGCTGAGAGGAGCTTTTAGCTGGAGTTTTATTTTCCAGACTGACTGTTACTTCCTTACTTGGCATTTCTGTTTGTGTCATTCTGCTAGATTCGTTTCTATTTTATGTTGTCCATATAATAGAATCCAAATTTTGACTAACTTTAGTGGACCTTGACCATCTGTGCTGGACAATACCTTGGAGAACTATGTTCTAGTTTCCCAGCTTCTGAAGCTGTGATAATGCATGAGATATCTGCACTGTTTTAATTTCATTTTTAGACTGGGACACAGAAACTCTCTCTTGGGTTTATGTGAAATTATTGAAATGGCAAAAAAGCTGGAAGCTAGTTTCAAGGTTTCTAAACAGAACTCTTCCCAGGTAAATTTCCAGCCTGTTTTGGAAGGAGAGGCAATTTTTTTTGGTTATTTTCTGAAATTTCGGATTATTTACTATAGCTCTGAGAGTAGAAAGCAAGAAGAGATGCAATTTCCTGGCAATACCTTTTAGGAAGCAGCTTTTAGTAGGAGCACCTATAGTAACCAGGAAGATGACTGAAATATTTTCCCATGTGCCTTGAACCTGTAAATGTGCACCAGAGGTGTACGTGTGTGATGTGTATTTTTGGGTTCTGTGTCACTAAGTCATTTAACCTCTCCCATAAACTGAGCTTCTTGAGGGTTGGAGCACAGCAAACAAGGCTTCATTCCTGCCTCAGTCTCTTCCCCCATCATTCCTCATTCAGTTTGAAGGCTTTACACGCAGTCTTTTAATAAATTCCTTACTGGATGAGTAAAAGTGGAAGATTTCCCTAAAATTTCTTAATGAGGATCCAGCTGTGAAATGAAAACATAAATCAAGTTTTCTTGTCCGGTTTATTCTTGCCTTTCAGCTCACCCTGCCAGCAGAGTTGTAGTGTTTGCTGTGCAGTGTGGATATTGGTTTACTACTTCCATCTTAATAAAAACACAACCCCCACCTTGTTCCTTCTACCCTGCACTGATTTCTTTTTTTTCAGTCGTGCCTTTGCTTCTTCCATTTTCTTCTGAATTTAACCTTTGATTTTACTTCAGATTTTCAGTAACTGCTTCTTTCCTCGCCTCTGTGCCTGGTGAGAAGCATCTGTTCATTAACAGAGTGTGGCCAGAGTTTTGCTGGATTTGCTTCTTAGGTGGATAATGAGAGGTGGCTGTGAGGTACCTGAGCCTGCAGCACCATCTGTGTGAGCTTCTCCTGACAGCCACACTGCAGAAAAAGCTGTGAAAATGCGAACTTTTGCCCTCAAAAACCGAAGCAGTGCTATGGCACTGCAGAGAACAGGTGTGGAATAGTCTTAATTCCTCCTCCTGTCCTCCTCTGTTCCTTACTATTCTTCCTTTTACCCTTTTCTCCATTCTCAGCTGGATGGGTTATGTTCGATGCCAAAGGAGGGAGGAAATTTGGAGGCAAAGCAGCTTTGCAGTGCCTTTTTTATTGAACTTAAAGGCTTTTTCTTGCCCCCTTCTCTTAATCTGAGTGTCACGTGGGTGGATTGGATGCAGTAAAGGAGAAAGAGGAGGTTTCTCCTTGTTCAGATATTAAACTATGTGCTCTGACAGTCACCTGAATGAACTGTGACACAGACGGGTTGGTAACTGTGATACCAACCCTTAAGTGTTCCTTACAGAAAGGATTCCTTACTTACAAAGTTATCTTCGTGATCTACATCTTCTGTGCCATTCCATTTACTGAGGAATGTGGATGTGAAAGTGCAAATGTGAACATCACATCTTCTCTTGTGAACTCTGGGTAGTGGGTACAGGTATGGGTAGTGGATTCCTACAGATCCTACGATGGGGAATAAGTGAAGGGGGGAAAAGGTTTCAAAATCATGCTGATAAATCACTTCCCCTCACCCATCTTTTTGGATTATTTAAGTGGCTGTTTTCAGGTATGAATGAGCAAGTTATGGTTCAAAAGCTACTCTCATACTTTCTTAAATATTCATGTCTCCTAAAGGCTGAGAGGATATGATAGGGCTGCGAAATTGGGGGAGTCAGAAAATCTGTGTGGGTCTTTCTGTAAAATGTGAGCATCTAGCATCAGTTTCACAAAACCTTAATTCACCACAAATACCTACCAGATTTTAGCAGTTATGGCAGGACTATTTTTTTCCTCCATCACTATGAAGAAATAAAGATGTATTTTAGATCAACCTGTTTTTCTCTCTGCTGCTCTGTATCCTGTGTACTGTCCTTATAAGAAGCATGACTATACAGTCCATTTATGGGCTATTTTCCTTTGTGGCATTTAACCCACATTTATTTATTGATTTTTAAGATTAATTTTAGTAAGCAAAGTTTTATAAATCTGGTGATTATACCAGCTGGTAAAGAGCTCAGGAAACCACAAAAACTCTTTTTTACTGCTGTAGGATGCTGAAGGATTTTTTTATTTAAAATGAATGTGGTCTTAACTGCCTGGAAAATATGATCAAAAGCGTAGGTCCTGTTCCTGCAATTGGCTGAATGCAGTTAGGTCACTGTAACCACATAGAGCTCAATTGCTTTCACTACTACTACTACTACTACTACTACTACTACTACTACTACTACTACTACTACTGGTACCAGAGTAAATGAGTAAACAGAGGAATTCCTCAAAGGAGACATGTATTGGTGATTTTTGGTCTCTGATTTATGAAACTGTAAATAAAATTACACCAGATGTCAAAATAACATAATACAAAATGTTATGTAGCAGTAACCTTTTAGTACTACTGCAGCACTGCATGCTGTAGTAAATGGTGATAGACTGTAAATCACGATTTAACTGTTTACTTTTAGTGTGTTAAAAAATATCTCATGAGGAAAGTTGTGGGAAACAGAATCTTGCTGCTTGGTATATGTAGGTCTGTGCTCCTGCTCTTTGCATCTGCAGTTTGTGCTCCCTGAGTTGTAGGTGTCCAGGAGCCTGGTGTTAAAAAGACTAATTCATCAAAACATTTTATTTTTTTTTTCTTTAATTATTCTTGCAAGACCACCCCAGGACTGAGCCTTTTCCTTTTTCCCTCCCCTTTTTGATGTTATCTGCAAATCAATGAGATTGGTCAATTGTGGCACTGTTTTCAGGTAGATGATTTTGAAATTTATAACATTTTCATGGTTCGTGCTTCCAAAACCCAAAGCCTCGTGAGGGATGGTGGTGGTTGCTGCAGTTGTTTTTCAAACAGTTGTTTCATTGCCTGCCAGCTGTGGTTGCTTTCTTCATTGTGGAGGAGAGGTAACAGGTTCTCAGAGGTAACTTTTTAACCTTGGATTTATTTGTTTTTTTAGGAGTAAGTGTATTATTTCAAGGAATAGTTGTCTCAGTGACTGCCCTTTTCCCAGGATGGTGTTTTTAGAGTTTCAGGGGAGAACCATTTGCCATTTCTGGAGCGAGGCCGGGGCACGAACATGTCTTTGTCCGTGCTTACAGCTGTCAACATGTTTTTTTAACAATCTCTGGTAACTTCATGTTTTGCATTAGGAATTTGAAACTTTGTCAGGTGGCCTTTATGCCAGGGCTCTGTTGCTGATAATGTGACTAATTGTGACCAAATTACCAGTCTCGGGGGCACAGGGAGTCTGTTTCCATCTGCGCAGCGCGTATGTAACCGGAGGTGCCCTGACGTCCGTGGTGACTGAATATTCTGATTCTGCTGTTCCCAGAGCCAGCTGGGCTGTTTGCATCCTCCCCTGCACAGGGGTCATGTTGTCAGGTGAAATCCATAGGGACAAGCCGAAGCTTATGTAAGTGCTGCTTCCAGCTCCTCTGGGATGACACTCTGCTCCCAGTGGTGGTTCTGTTGCTGCTTGGCAGTGGTTGAAACCACACAGAATCGTTTAGGCTGGAAAAGTCCTTTAAGATCATCAAGTCCAACTGTTCTCCCAGCCCTGCCAAGGCCACCACTAACCCCTGTCCCCAAGTGCCACATCCACATGTTGAAAGTGTGTAGGAACAGGAGCCCTGATGTGAGAGGAGGAATTGGAAACAGGCTGTGGCTGGCTATACAAGGAGCATGGGATGGTGTAATAGGAGAGAGAGATAAGAATTAAACAAGAAACAAGTAAGATTTGGGACTGCTGAGCAAAGAAATGAGTAAAGAGGCAGGACAGGAACAGAGTGGCAAAATACTGGGGAAGATGGAGGCAGCTTTCTTTTTGATGAGAGACTGGAATGGGCAAGGTAGGACAAGGGGGAATGGCTTCTTGCTGCCAGAGGGCAGGGTTAGATGGGATATTGGGAGGGAATTGGTGTCTGTGAGGGTGGTGAGGCCCTGGCCCAGGTTTCCCAGAGAAGCTGTGTCTGCCCCTGGATCCCTGGAAGCATCCAAGACCAGGTTGGATGTGGCTTGGAGCAACCTGGGCTAGTGGAAGGTGTCCCTGCCCATGGCACGGGGGTGGGACTGGGTGAGCTTTCAGATCTCTTTGGGCCCAAACCATTCTGTGATGCCATGATGATAAGGTGTGTGTGAGGGAGTGGAAGCTGATAAAAAAAAGAACTGAGAAGGAATGGGGTCTGTGGGGGCAAAGAGGTGGGAATGAATTACAGGGAGGGAAAACTGGAAGGATGATGGCTTGTATAAAGCACAGGGAGCCATGGGTGGATGAGAAAGATGTGGATGGAGGGCTCAAGGTCCTGCTTGAGATTACCTAACTTGTCCCAGTCCTATTCCTCTTGTCCCACTGGGGCACCTTTTTGGAGAGAGAATTTGATGGGACCTGCTTCTGAGTCCCAGCTTAGTGTGAATCAGGAGCTTCCACTTTGCTTCATAAAGTACAGGGATGTGCCCCACAAAATAGCACCAAAGGGAGTGGGAGGAAACATGGGGCTCATTTTATTTGCGGGAGGAGGTTGCTTTGCTATTTCACTCATAAATGAGAGACTACAAGAAATACCTTATTAGAGATTTAATGATTCAAGCTGATATTTTTTTGTTGAGCTAAGTGTATTTTGTCTCAGAGAGGAAAAAAAAAAACACCAGCCCTTGGGTATTATTTCAGAGCAAATCGATTGCAATTATGTCTTTTCAATAATCTTCTGGAAATGTGTTTGGATTTGCATTGTGCGTCATGTCAAAACAAATAATATTTTCTACCTCCCATTTTCGTAGCTGTATTGTGTTTTACAAGGAGTGTGTTAGATTTTCAATAAGGTTTTAAAAGTCAGGAAATGAAATGTGCAACCACAACTTATCCCTCTTGTATTTATGTGTTACAGAGTGTAACCATTACTTAATGATCATATACTATATTTTTCAAATAACAGTATACTTTTGTTCTGGAAGGTTCCAATGCTAAGCTTGAGGTATTTTTTTTTTTGTCAAAGTAGTTAATTAATTTTCATACATAAAATCCTCTCTTGAAAACAGGTATATTCACATAGTCATAAATAAGCCATTATTAAGAAATCACAATTAATGGCAACCAGAATGACTGTCTACACTTATTTTATGATTTTGCAGCTGTGAAGTAACCCAAGAACTTGCTATATCTGATCATAGGTTTGTGCTTAGCAGCGTTGGGATGATCAAGTTCTCCTCTAGCAGTGAAGTTCATATATGTGTAATCCTTTAATTACCCAACTAACAGCTTTTTAACTTTTCAGTTGCCTTTTTTTGGTGAAAATAGGTGTGGATTTTGCTTTGTCTTTCAGGCATTTCCTGTTAATCATCTGTGTTGTTCATAACAACTAGTTGTCCTTGTTTACTGAAACTCCTTGGATTACTTGCTTTCATTTATACCATCACCACTTTGTCTTAAAATAGTATTAGTGACTTGTTATAACTAGAAATTATATCGGTTTCCGCATCCACTCATCGCCTGCTATTTCTGGAAGCCTTTCTTGTAGTGATTTCATGTTTCCTATCTGTTCCTCAGCCTTGACCATTCTTCCCTTAAATACCTCTCAAGTCTTCCCCTCTTCCCCGTATTCTGATTTTGTGACCCTTTTAGCAAAAGGTGTTTACCAGAACCCACCACACCTGAGCCTGCAGCTGGGGATGTTTGCCACCTTTGCCATTAATTAGTGGTTTTCCCATCTATGGGTTGCAGTCATTGGCTTCATTTTAGCTTCCTTGTGGGAAATAGGAAGGTGCTGAGAAAGAGTGAGGTACTGTGCAGTGTGTGATAATGGACATACCTTTTTAAAATTGATTTTAAATTTATTTCAATGTTCTGAACTTTTGTCTCTTCATATATTGTAAAGAAAGGACTTCTGTTATCTCAAACTGCATCAGCTTACCAACTAATAGGAGTCATAACCAGAATGCTATTTGAAATGACTCTTGTACTATGAAAGAGCTTCAAGAGACAGAGAATGATGGAATGCCAGGATGTCTTGGGTTTGGAGAGACATTCACGCTCATCCAGTTCCACCCCCTGCCACGAGCAGGGACACCTTCCACTAGGACAGGTTGCTCCAAGCCCCATCTAACCTGGCCTTGAACACTTCCAGGATCCAGGGGCATCCCCAGCTTCTCTGGGAAACCTGTGCCAGGCCTCACCACCCTCACAGACAGCAGTTTCTTCCCAATATCCCATCTATCCCTGCCCTCTGGCAGTGGGAAGCCATTCCCCCTTGTCCTGTCCCTCCACATCCTTGTCCCAAGTCCCTCTCCAGCTCTCCTGGAGCCCCTTCTGACACTGGAAGGGCACTCAGGTCTCCCTGGATCCTTCTCTTCTCCAGGTGAACATTCCCAGCTCTCCCAGCCTGGCTCCAGAGCAGAGGGGCTCCAGCCCTTGGAGCATCTCCGTGACCTCCTCTGAACCTGCTCCTACAGGTTCACGTTCTTCTTGTGTTGAGAGACCTAAATATAGTCAGAAGTGTTTTCATATAACTTCTTAAGAGAAGAGGTTAAATAGAGGTTGATAATTGAGATTGATGGGGTTTGGAATTTTTAAGACATCCGTATTATTTTCATTGAATCTGAAGTTTCAGTAAAACACACTTAATATCTCCAAGATGAAGTTATACAGAGCAGCAGCTTTGTGTGCAATAGTCCTTGTTAAACATATTTAAGTTTTGACCCAGAATAACCCTGAATTTATAGAGGATCTTTTCCATGTTTTTAGGACAGTTCCTGTTGACTCATTTTTACCAGTCTTTTAAGTCATGGTGTTTTGTGCACATGTTTCCTCCGTGTCGGTTGGCGGAGTACAAGGAAAGAATGGAGTGATTCTCCTCCTGCAATAAGTTTGGGAATGGTGGTAAACTTCATCCACCCTGATAGTGGAGAGCACTGAAAGATATGAAAGCCTTAAACTAGCTGATGACTTTGTTTAAGTGTTAAGGGAAGAGACCTTGTATCTGGCAAGAGAAAGGCTTCAGTGTGGAGTCAACACTTCTCCTGTGGATCTGCCCCATGACCCTCAGCATGTGGGCTCTTGCCCATCAGTCAGAGCTCCTGCATGCTGCCTCTTGCCCAGCCTCTGATGAGGGAAAATGGGAAGGAATTGGCAGCAGTATTCACGTGTCTAGGGTGGAAATGGAGTCTTTATAAGATGAAAAGGGTTAAAATCAAAAAGAATATAGGAGTGTTGTGGCACAGGGCATAGAAAATAGGGAATTGCTAAATGTAATAGTCTTTCTGCAGCTGTCGTGTTTCCACAGGGCTTAAAGTTGGTGAGATCTCCTTGGTGATAATGCTGCAGAGGTCTGACTTTTTTTTTTTTTTTTTTAAATTTTGTTTTGCTCATGCTTTGAAATACAAAAATTAAGTCGCATTTGAGTCTGGAAGGTAATTTAAGGAATTTGTCTTAAGGAACATGAGATTCCAGACAGCTTCCTACGTTCTTTATTCAGACATAGGTGCTGAAAAACCTTGTTCTTTTGTTTTGTTTTGTTTTTTTGTTTTTCCCAGATACTGAAAAACATCACTTGGTATGCTGAGCGTGTCCTAACAGAGATCTCACTTGGGAGTCTCCTGATACTGGTGGTGATAAGAACCATCCAGTACAACATGACACGGACAAGGGTGAGTTATGCGGAGCCCTTGCGTGTGGATTTCTAACTCCAGCAGCACGAATTCAACTTCAAAACAGGGTGTGGGATTTTATTCATTCTGTTGCAGCCAGGTGGCATCTGGATTTGCAGCAGAAAATGGACAAATTGGGTGCATTAACTGTTTGGTGTTTCTGAACTTGTAACATGATTTCTGTATTGTCATCCAGTTCGTCGAGTAGGATTCTCTGAAGACCTTAATTCAGGCATCAAACCCATCTTCAAAAAATAAGAAAGAGTTCCTTAGATTCATGAAAAGAAATAAATCATTATAGGTTGTTTGCCCCTCATAAATGACTTAAAAGAGGGAATTTCAGCTCTATTTATTGTTAGCTATTTTACTTCTTCACCTTTATAGGCTCATATCAGATGGGTTTTGTGCATTTTTCAAGAATTTGGTTTTATACTTTGTTTCATATAAGCATAGTATCATGCACTTCTGAATATTTTAAGCAGTTAAAAGCACAGCATTTTCTGCATTAAAAAGTAGCCAAAAAAATTAATTGTGTTTTAAATTGAAAGAATTAAAGATTTTGCTCTTATGATCAAAAGAATTGAAAAGAAGGAGGACAATTTTGGCATATATTTGTCGTATTTAGAATCTGTTATGTTATGTAAATTAATATTTTAGACTTGAATAGGGAAACTAATCCCTTTTGGATTGGATAAGTGGGCAGGTTTTTTTCTGTGAAAAACCCTTGACTTTGACAGGGCAATCAGTTAGTTGCTTATCTGGTCAAGTGGTTTCAGGCATGCTGAAATGAGGATCAGTTCCCTGAAGTGTAGTATGGTTATAGTTTTGGGATATATGGAATGCTGTGAAAGAGTTAATAAGGAGATGAGTTATGAAGTAGAAAGTTTCAGGATAAGACTATAAAAGGGAGAGAGGAAGGGAGAGAAGAGGAAGATGTCTCCGTGTATTTTTTACATCTGTGATGCCATTGTAAGTCAACATTGCTAAAGATATGAAGACATACACATGCAAGTCTGTACATATAGATATATACACTCTGAAATCTGTGTGGAATCACTCTTTAAAACAACACACATTACTCAGCCTTTTGAATGACTCCTGCAGGAGGTGTCAGTGTCTATCAGAAGAACAGTTTGATGTGTTGGTTTTTTTATCTTTCCTCTTCTTTCTGACAGGACAAATACCTTCATACAAATTGTCTGGCAGCCTTAGCAAACATGTCAGCCCAGTTCCGCTCCCTTCATCAGTATGCTGCTCAGAGGATCATCAGGTAAATATACAGACTTCTCTGAAAATCATCTTTGCTGAAACTCAGGAGTGGAGAAATTTGGATTTTATGTGACTTAATTGATACCAATGAACTAAGTAGCAGAAATGATAACTGAGTAACTAAATAATCCCAGAATAAATCTTAACTTGCTTTATACTTGAACCCACTCTGAATGGACAAAAACCCCACTGTCTTGTCTGTCTGAGAAACTTCTGCCTTTTGGTCCTCTCAACAGAACAGCTCAGTAGCTGCTTTCAAACCACAAGGTTTTCAGGGATTTTTGTGAATTATGTTTTTTTTCAGTCATGTATTATGTTATTATAGAAATACACTGAATGGTGGTTCTCAATTACTATGCAGGATGGATTTTCAACTTACTTCTTCCTGCATATTTGGCTAAAGGTCTCTGTTAAATCAGACATAACGGAATGGTCATTTTGTGACAGCACCCTGCAAATATGGGCAATAAAACCTAAATCCGTGCTTTTCAATGGATAAAGTTTATTTTCCTGTATAGTAATAAATAGTCAATATCTGCTGTGGTTCTAAAACAGGGCCATAACTTTAAAGAAGTGGATATTGAAGTGGGTCATTCCTATTTTGATTCTGTGCTGCAGAGCACTTTGTAAGGGCAGGTAATCCTGCATCAGGCAACCTTCTCACCTTGGCAGCCAGCCCTGCTCCACGCTCCAAGGGAAACTGGGAAGGTCCTTGCTAATGTGATCTGGAATAAGCTGTTATGGTGCTTGTCAGGTACAGACAGTGTGCCAAAAATAAGGAAATTATGGCTGCGTGCCTGTGCTCTTTGTGGAGGACTGGGTTAACATGAGATAACAGCTTGTTGTTAAGGATTTAATTCTCTCCTAGCCACTTCTCTTCTGGAAATGGTTGTTTGTAAAAGTGTGGACAGGTAACCAGGATGAATGCATTCTGTTGTTGCCTTTTCCCTGGTTGATACTCACACTCTTTTCATATCCTTGGCAGTGGTGATGAGGGTTCAGAGTTTGAACAGGAGCTACTTTCCCCTTACTTATCACAGGCATTGTCTTAAATGCCTGCTGTCTGCATTTCCCAAATCATGGACATGGAGCCGAGTTTTCCAAGCATTTGCAACATCCTGAAATCACAGATGCTGGCATGGTGTGAGATACACTTGGTTCTCAAAAACTTGGTCTGGTTTTTACTGTGATGCTTTGTTTGCCACTTCTGAGCTTCCTCCTATGATCCCGGGTTCTGATTTTGTTCCATTTTATTCTAATGCTCTTTCTGCAGCCCAAAGTAAGAGGTGGGACAGGGAGAGGTTATCTTGCTAGTCTCAAGACCCAAGAATTTCTCTTACATTCCTTGTGTAAGTGTTTCAGCAGGATGCTCTGACATTTGGGAGCCTTATTCCCTGTATCTCTAGACATGCCCAGTTACAATATGACTTTAACATTGCTGCTTGATTTCAGATGTGAAATGACTGTGCTGACATTCCCATTGAAGGCAGACAGACTTCCACTGGTGCTTGACAGTGGTGCATGTGGAAAGAAGGCAGTGGGGTGGATGGCAGAAGACAGGGAAAGGAAATTCTGTCACAGTGAAAGATCATTGAGTCCTGCTGTTAGAGTCCCCATCCCTGGAGGAATTTAAAAGCCCTGTGGATGTGGTACCTGGGGACGTGGATTAGTGCTTGGCAGTGCTGGGGAATGGTTGGACTCCATGACCCCTTGGAGGGCTTTTCCAACCTAAACGATTCTATGGTTCTGTTCTTTGATTCTATAAATTAGTCTGAGACTTCAGTATGTTTGGAGGATTGCAGAGGTTTTAGTCTGATAGGATAGCAGTTTGAGAAGGGTGTTGGTTATCCCAACCATTGGGTGCCATGAGGGTTGGAGTTTATTTTTCCAGTTGGAAATAATGTAAGGATTGATAGAGAAAATGGTCATACTCATCAGCTGAAGAAGCAAAACAAAATGGCAATAAGATCTATATTATATAATATGATATTCTTACATAATTTATAAATATTCCATGTTGTTACTTTTAAGCTTCTGCCTTTCATAGCCAGATGCTCCATATTATTACATAGTGGAAATTGTGATGAAAGAGGTGACTTTAAATAAACAAAGGAGTATTAGGGAGAGAGGACTGGACTTATATTCTGGAGTTATAAAACTGTACACCTGGGCAATAAACAAAAATGATCACCAAGACTGGGATTTGATTTGTCACTGTGACCACCAAGACTGGGATTTAATTTGTCACTGTGATCATGACTGCTTATAAATAAAAGGATCCCAGTATAAAAATGTATTAAAATCTGTTCTAAAATGTCCAGTGGGACCAGGGCATGGGCAGGCTGGAAGGAAGAGTTGGTTCTGGGGGCAGCCTGTTGCCTGTAGGACTTTACTGTGTTTTCTTCTCAGGAGCTTTACAGCCTTGGGTTCCTTGTCAGGTTTAAGCACCATAAAGAAGGTATTTTAACCTGATTTCCTCTCAAAATACACAGATTTCTTATAAAGTTTCAGTTATCAAGAAAAGTAGTAAGAATACACATATCTCTTAAGAGATTGATGTTTGAGTCATATATGCTCCTTCCTTTTTCTACCTTAGGAATTTTGTTACCCACAATTATTAAATTTAACTAGCAGTGATGTTCCATAATGCCAAAGCAGAATATTTATATTTATACTCTTGTTCTGGTTCTGCCATCAGAGTACAAGCATCTCTGAGAGTAGAAAGCACAGTATCCATAAAGAGAAGGTGTTCTGTGTGAAGGAAAAGCCTAAAAAGAAAATAGTACTTTATATTACATGAAGTATTTCAGGGTATAGGTTTCTAAATGAAGTAGCTGTGAAACACTTAACTTAAAAACTGCTTAGCAATACAACTGAATAGGCAGTCATAATTTAAGCCTCACCAGATGCTCTAATGACTCCTTCCTTAATGTGAGAAGTAATTCCGTTTCCACGCAGGCTTTTTCCTAATCCCATTCTGAGCAGAGGCAGCCAATTGTTTTAAATTCTGAAGACTATTTTCTATGAAAGAATGAACTGGGAATATTCAATGTACTGCACTTAAGACCTCAGTAAAATACGACTTCATAATCATGGGTAATTTGTACCACGTTCCAGCAAGCATGAAAATTGTCAGATTTGTATAAATCTATCACAAGTATAAATTTTACACAAGCAGCTGCTGGAAGTAAAAATAGAAGTAAGAGATGTTTCATAGTAAAATCCAGGGCAATATTACTTTAGGTTGGATATTCTCTGATGCAGATTGCCCCGAGTTTGAGATCCTTCTCTTCTCTGTCTGCTGTTATCAGAGACTTGTGTTTAATTACACAGAGCTGTTTTATCAGCATAGTGACACTGCACTGCTCCGTGAAGTGCTGCTATTTGTAGTATCTTTAAATTATATTTAAATATAACTACGTAGTGGTGCAGGTATTCAGTTTGTCACTCAAAACTGCAAGTCATTTGGCATTGGTTTCTTTAACGTATTTGGAAGGAGCTTCCATGATATTTGGCTTTCCTGCAGCTTGGCCTCCCTGCTCTAGGATATGGAACACTTGGAGGGTCTTCCTCGGATCCGGTGTGTTCTGTCATCTCATCACCACGTCATTTGGATAAAGTCAGTGACAAGAAGGCGGCTGATCACTTAAGGCAAATGCTTTTTGTATGGCTTCATATGTTGGAATGTTTGCTGTTTTCTAAGCAGGCATATGCCACTAGAGGTTGCCATACACCTCACTAATTAGACGTGCACTTTTAACGTTAAATGACTTTATAGTGCTGGGAACACCATCCAGTTTTCCTTTTTTTCTGTATTATCACCACAGCTGTTCATGTGCAGGGCTGTTGTAGGTTTCTTTTAAATACAGTTGGAAGTGCTTAATTATCCATACTTGTAAAGTCTAACTGCATTGCTGGGGTTCATCAAGTCTCTTGCCTGAGAGAAGGATGAAGCCCTGCATTCCCTTTTCACTCTTCAACAAAGTCTTCATCATTTCGTGGGGTCAATTGTGTTTCATAAGCTACTGTGAAAAATTGCCATCCATTCTGATATGTGCTGCTGTATTTGAGAAGTTTCAGCTCCCCCCAAAAAGCATTTGGTTCGTAGTTTGCTGCATTAGTAATTTAACTTCTCTGTTATGGTTTCCTCCTATACGAGTCTGGTGGGATTTTCTTGGGTGAAATTGTGTATGACAGTTGTTTAGGAATGAGTACCTGATGTTACTTTAAGCTGCACTTTTTTAGCTTGGCTTATGTTGGACTAAAAATTGTCTTTAGGTTGTAGCGTGTGAGTTTCTATAGAAAAATTGTATTGTGATTGCAGGGTATTTCATAGAATCACAGAATGGTTTGGGTTGGAAGGGACCTTAAAGCCCATCCAGTGCCACCCCCTGCCATGGGCCGGGACACCTTCCACTGGACCAAGTTGCTCCAAGCCCCGTCCAACCTATCCTTGAATATTTTCCTTATATAAATAAATTTCTTGTTCACCAACACCCCCTTCTCCTCAGGGCTGCTCTCTACCCAGAGAAATGTGTGTGAATCACTGTGTGTTCAGCAAAGAAGAAAAATGTTTATGGAGCAGCAGGACATGTGTGATCTGACCTGCATTTTGGGGGCCACACTGAACTGAAAAATCTGAAATTGTTAAGTGCGTGAATGTGATGAAATCAGAAATTACAAATTGCTTAATAATAGTTTTTAGCAGTGCCAATAATGAGATGTAATTGCTGGCTCAAAACTCACTAGGCTGCTCACAGAGGAAGATAAACAAATTTCTCTCCCACACAGCTTTAAACTCTGTGAGCATTCTGGTTTTCCTGCCTTTTTTTCTTTGATGTCAACAGTGTTTTCAGGAAGCTCTTTAACACAGAGCTTCCTCTTTCACTGGAGAATAGTGATGGGATAGTTGGAGCAGAGAACTAGTGAGATGGAGTTACCCAATTCAAAGATGCTTCTTAAGAAGAAAAACTTGGAAGAAAAAGCCTTTTTGCTGCATGA